GTTTAATTTAAGATCCTTCAGCATTTAGCCTGCTCAAGAATCCCTCCAAACGCCTCCTCTTCAACAAACTTAAGAGAGAACATCTAGGAAGCAACGATAAGCACCTTCCCCTCTCTTTCGAATTCACCACCAGTTCTGACTCTTTTGACTCATTGCACGATCTTACCATTTGAAACCTGCATGTTATCAATCCACCTTAAGCACTCAAAATCTGATAGAGAGGAAAAAGGCTCTACTGTCCTCATATCACAAACTAATATTGCTTTCTGTCCCCTGTCTTCCATAACCTGATACCTCCCTGAGCAAAGCAAGATGAACCCCTGTTCCTAACTGACCAAGGAAAGGCCATGTCAAGATCCTGGTTCAAGTCTCGGCTTTGCCTACTCTGCAAACGATGCAGACTGCCATCCCAGCGATACACCTCACATTCCTTTCGCATCGGTGCTGCCACCACGGCTGATGCTCTGGTCCATGAATCCAAAGCGAAAGCTATAGGTCTCTGGTGTCCAGCTGCCTTCGAGCATTACGTTCACCCGGGCTAAGACGAGATTATTTCTGCTCAAACGTTCATGAGTGCTAATGCCTAAACAGCATATCCTTCAAGCATAATAAAAACACAGCATTTGGAATTGAATGGCTGGTTTCAGTACTTGCTAGTAAGTGTTATGGAATTTTCATAGACACTGTCTCTTGTCCTCTCTGGGACACAGTGCAACAGGCTGTTGTGTTTGTTGTGCGAGAGCTTGGCGAAGGTCAAAGCCTTCACTCCCTAGACATCACAGATATGAGACTAAGCAGGCAATACTATCTCCATAACTAAATACATTTGATTGTTTAGGAACTAGCAGACCCATAGATTCAATGATCTGTTAGGGTTTTAAGTGTGATTGCAGGAAAGCAGACTTCAGAATATGAGAGAGCATCATGCACAGATATTGAATGGATGAATTCTGATTTTCTCCTTGGCCAAGCTTCAATAAATATTTCAGCATAAGACGTCAAAGGGCTCCTGAATGCTTTCTTCATTAATAAGTTGACCATTGATCAGCTGTTTTTCCACAACAGTAAAATAATTCAAGGTTGCGGTATGCTTGCTGCCACATTTGGATATGACTCATTAACTGCAGTAGGACCTCTAAAAATACATCTGCATCTTTAATAATAATTCTAGAGGTCCACAACATTCTAGTCACATCCAGAACTATACGTTCTGGATGTGACTAGTTTTTCAGCATCTTTTCGGAGAGGACATTTTTTTTAAATCTTATGTAAGTGAAAGAAGGCAATCCTTGAAATTTGTTTTAACTGAGAATCAAACGACAAATTTGGATCAAAGATGACTCATAAATTCCTGACTGTTTCATTAGAAGCAAGGGCAATGTAATCTAGCGCAGCTATATCATTGGACAACGTATCTCTAAGGTGCTTAGGGCCAGGTATTAGAACTTCTGTTTTATCTGAGTTTAATAAGAGAAAATTGAGGGTCATCCAGGTTTTTATGTCCTTGAAACATGCTTGAAGTTTGGTTAATTGATTACATTGTTCTGGTTTTATTGACAAGCATAACTGGGTGTCATCTGCATAGCGGTGGAAATTTACAGTGTCCTGATAATGTTTCCAAGTGGAAGCATATATATAATATATATATATAATATTATGGGGAGGCAGTAGCTCAGTCCATAGAGACTTGTCTTGGGAACCCAAGGGTGGCCGGTTCAAGTTCAGCATGGACCGAAGTATGGAGGTGCCAGTTCACCTCCTGGGCACTGCTGAGGTGCCCTTAAGCAAGGCACCGAACCCCCCAATTGCTCCCCGGGCTCCTTTATGGCTGCTCCGTGTGGTCACTGTGTGTATTGTGTTCCGTGTGTGCTGTGTTCACACGGGTGGGTTAAATGCAGAGGTCAAATTTCCCCATGTTGCATGTAGTGCTGTGTGTGCATGATTGTGGGACAATAATTAATAAAAATTAAAAAAATAATGAGAATAAAATTTGGCCAATCACAGAATCCTGTGGAACACTGGTTAACCTTGGTGTGCACAGACGACTCATCTTTCATTTGCACAAATTGGAATCGATCTGAAAAATAGGATTTAAACCAGTTTAGGATGGTTCCTTTAATGCCAATTAACTGTTATAATCTCTGTGATAAAATCTGATGATCAATAGTGTCGAATATTGCACTAAGATCTAACAGGACAAGGACAGACACAAACCCTTTATCTGTAACTATTAGAAGTTCATCAGTGACTTTAGCCGAGGCTGTTTCCATGCTATGATGGGATTTTGGATGCATTGGCCTGCTTTGACTGAGAATTTTCTGTCCAACCATGCGATACAAAAACGGTTCTGGGGCAGTTCTTGTTCATTTTGTTTTGCACACATTAGTTCCCTTATCACCAAAATGAGGCCTGAGGAAGCCCTTGAGTTCACAGATTCACTTTATAGGCACCTGGTTTAACTATCTCACAGCTCGGATCACTTCTGTCCCTGTGAAGTCCTCCCTGACTCCCTTGTCTATCTGCTTACAGATACTACTATATGTGGTGTCAGAGTTTTACTCCCCTGTCTGCTCCCCATCTATCCTAAACTTTCTACGCTGGAGATGGGAGAGGTCCTTTAAGGAAACTATCTTCTCAGTATCAGACTCAGCTGGGGTATGACATCTCAGTTGGTGTAGCATGGGCTCACCTATACGGTGATGTGCTGTGTTCCATATGATTCCATATCTTTGTAGTGTTGTAGCATCTTGCCTAGCTCTTCATGCATTATTTGGAGCAGGTCCACATTTTGACTGATGGTGGCTGTGCTATGCTTAGTGTCTTGTATGTTCTGGACTGTGGCTGCTGGAGGAGCCATGTAGTGTCTGGTGGGTGACATATGATCCAGTTTGATCCACTATGTTCTCTGGTGTTGTTGTGAGTGTCTCATGTTCCTGAGTTACCCCATTTGCAATGACAACTATATCCCGGTCACTAATGATTTCAGGTACCAGGTCATTCGACATTACCAACTGACTCATTCCCTCATCCTCAAAACTGAGTAATGTATCAGTTAAGGATATAATCCACACAACCTTCTTCATCTGTGGACTTCAGATCGAGTGTACCATGCACTGCATGAAAAGTGGGATTTTCTTCAGTAAACAGCACTGTAAATTGCTGTGAAACTTCAGGTTAACGACTGTTCACAGGTATCTCCAGGCAGCACAGAGAACTACCAGGAACTGTCGGAAATTGACTGGGGGTTCCAATTTCTGGCAGTTTTACAAGCCTGAGAAGCTTGGCAAGTGACTCCCCTGCTCCTAGGTCTAGGGAGGGCTTTCACATGTAAATGACAATGCTGTGAGCTTTACAAATGCAAATCAGGATACTTTCACTCACCAGTGGTGCAGAGGTGACACCTATTTCTAAAAGGTACAAACTCCCTTTTAAGAAAATCTCTGGTATAAATACATCAGGCTTAGTATAATTATAAAATCATACAGTGTAACTTGAATAATTTGGCCTTATATAAGTAATGCTATAATGAGTGTAATCAGTGATACAATTTTCAGTGTCACTCTGATGATACATTTTCAACATTGCTGTCAAGCTCATCCAAGATAATCTGTTGGGATGGAGAGAGTGGCAACACTATAAAGTTTTCTTAGAGAAGTCTTTCTGCTGACACCAAAACACTCTGCTTCACATAAAGCATATCAGCATCGCGTGACAAAGTCCAAAACGTTTGTCCTGCCAAAATACTGGCAAACTCAGCACCATATTCACATGTACATGGCATACCAAGCTGTTGATTTGTGCTTAAATTGCCTCATAATTTTAACATCAATTGTCGTATTGTTGTTATTAAACTTTCCCAGTATTCCATTAAAGCCCTCAAATGAAAAACACCAGGTCCCCATGTGGAGGAGTCAAAGCGGAAAAGACGGGCGCACAATTGTGGTAAGAGCTAAACTAAACAGAAAAGCCATTGCTAACTACTAAGCTAAGTAATTTGCAGATCTGAATAGCGTTTAAACAACTGTGAGATTAGCATGAAAGTTGCTAAAAGAAAAAGAGAACAATGAGTTCATTGTTTTTTGTAGGAAACTGTCTGATCTATTTCTTTTATTTTGTTTTCACAGCCTGAGCTTGCCTCACAACAAGGCAGTCACTGGGCGTTATGTCGAAGCTCTCCCTGCAAGTCCGTTTTTATGCAGTGTGGCAAAGGACATCAAAAGTGATTTAGTGAGTATTTTAGTTATTTATGATATACACATGTTACTGATGTTGATTTCCAGATGCATGTAAGACGTGCTTTGGGACAATAAGAAGAAACATTTTCGGTACAGCCAATCAGACCTTGAGGCTCAGGCAGTACTGAAAAGTTCGGCTCGGTATTGACAGAGAAGGAAGAGGGTAAGATTATTTTCATTAAATAATTCAGTTACACTTGGAGGTGTATTGTGTCATTCAACTGTCCTGATTGTACTGATTTTGTTTACAGCTGCTTCAAGTGAGGCAGAGTGTCCTGGTGGAAAGTGACATGGAGTTCTCTAGGGGCAACATGATTGAATGATGTCAGATGAGGAGGATGGCACATATGAGGGGTTGTCGAGGTGGATAGTGTGGCCTCCATCCTCGCAGCCAGGGGCTAATTAGATCACATATTTTGAATAGCCTATGATTAAAGCCTTTGTGAGGTTTCTGGTGTGACTAGTATATTTCCTTGTATAAAACTATACACACTAGTCCTAGTGGCACCCCTCCCCCCCTTGGTAATTATGCCCTATGTGTTGCCTATATTACTTCCACACAGAATAAAATGTTTTCTACTGTAATGAATTAATTAAATTCCATGTGTTTGTGTCTAAGTTGGAGTTTTTTTGAAAAACTGAAGCAAGACGTTGTGTGGGCTTAGAGGCACATGGAGAGGGGCCCAGTCAGGTCAAGAGTTCTCAGCCCTTGCTGGTTATTGTATTTGGACGTAAATGTTTGGTGTACAGTATGTAGTTCAGTACCTGACCAACAGAGGCAGGTGTATCCTTTGACCTCCTCTAGACATGTGGCACCATGATGGCAGGGATCAGAGGCACACTCAGGGATGTCCACTTCACAGTGGTAACCCTGGAATCCTGTATCACTGCAGTCACATTCATAGCTGTAACAGACAAGTGGGTTTTTATTAAAATCAAATATAGAAATTCAAACAATACATGTAAAAAAAATCTCAGCAGTGATGAGGTTCACCTCAGCCTCAAGATTTATTTCATATAAATAAGGTGGCCACCACCATTGCTCAGCGGAGAGGGTAGAATGGGCCATGAAGTTCTCACATTCTATTTCTCTCTATATATTTTTGTAATCCTACCTGCAGCTTTAATGGAGCACATATGGGTAGTTTTGACAGCTGTCATAGCAGGACCAAACATCTACTAAAATGCCTGGATTTGTTGCATTATGACATCTACTGTGTCAAATTCAGGATAGCCTCTGTTTGTTGTATGTTTTATTTTGTTAAACCTACAGATTTACTTTACTCCAGTCACTTACAGTTTTCTGCTTTAATTTGTTGTGGATTATATAAATCAATCAAACCACTGTGTTTAAAATATGCATGTGTAACAAGATATATAATCTGCCCCCGATCAACCCTGGCTGGGTCGCCCCAGGTGAGGCTGTCTGATGATTTAAGACCTGAAACACCCTATGACCCTGGGTCCATCACTGAAGAAGTGTCCAAGTTGCACCAGTAGGTGTGTTTTAGAACTGCATATAACCTGGAACCTTGATAGATAAAAAGCAATAGAGAAGTACTGTCAGCAACAATCATTGATAGATAGATAGATAGATGTATTTCATTGATAGAAAATAGGGAAATTAATGTGTTACAGTGTGAAAAATATTTCTTTTAAGTTGTTAAACACTGTGTGCACCACTGGTGAAGAATATTACTTTAAAGTCATTTAACACTGTGTGCACCATGTTCCATAGCCATCTCTTGTTTACAGCTTTAGTTGTCATAGTTTGAACATGACCATTGGGGTGGCTGTGGCTGAGGGGTAGAGCGGTCGTCCTCCAACCAGAAGGTCAGAAGTTTGATCCCCAGTCTTCCCATCTGCATGCCAAAGTGTCCTTGGGCAAGATGCTGATCCCCAAATTGCTCAATAGAACAACAAAAAAAGTGCTAGCTATAGAAGCACTGTATGAATGTGTGTGTGAATGGGTGAATGGAAAACTGTAGTGTAAAGCGCTTTGAGTGGTCATCAAGTCTAGAAAAGCGCTATATAAATACAACCATTTAACCATTTACCATTTACCATTGTTAGGAGACATTACACAGGAACAAAATTGCAATGTGCTCATAAGGAATTGCAGACAACACCCAGGAAAGTTACAAGCATCTGCCCCAGGTTCTGAAGGACAGAAAATAATGTTAGACCAGGCGTAGTCTTGACAAAAAGCTGCACACACATTTTTTGCTGTGCACAAACACACACATTTGCTGTCAAGGTCAGGAAGAGCTCTTGCCTCTCCCACATTGACCAAAACCATATAAGGAGTTGTAATTGTGTTAAAACTAAGGATGATACACTGTGCATGGCATGCAAGAGGAGATAACAACATAACGAGTCAGGTAGAGTTGGAGACACGAGGTTCAAGGTAAAGATGGTGCTACATCGCCAAAGAGGGGAGCGGCTAGTGCTCATTTGTTGTTTGAAGTGCCAAGAGGCCAGGACTGAGCCTGTGCACCAACAAGGGATAGCTGAGTCTACACCATGGCTATTCTCCGCCCTTATTTACCAATCACATTAATTCACATGTTACAAAAACTGTGTGATGCCAACTGTATGGGGTGACTCTTCACGACTCTGTATGGCCTATAGCCAAAATCGTGTTTGGGTGCCCATAGCTATGAAGTGCCTTTTCATTGTCTGATAATAAATGCTCATTGATTGCACATGGATTGACTCTTCTCATATCTTGGGATAATCGAAATAGACAACAGCAGTATGTCAAGGACATTGCACGTAGAAACAATGAAACAGTTACAGTGAAATGAAATAGCTCAAAACAAAATGAAATAAACATAAAATGTACTAAAACTATGCATACTTCCTAAGTAAATGATACACAATAAAGTACTAGAATACAATAGAAGAAGAATATGTCTATAAACAAGAGACTTAATACAAGAGTTGCTAAACTATGTACTAGAGTATATGCAAAGTTGCAGTAGTTGTTTGCATTGACAAGAAAATGTAATGAGGTAGGTAGGAATATGACATACATAATAAAATGTGACTATGAGATGCTTAGGTTTGTGAGAGTTCACATTTTAACAGAGGAGAGGAGTTGTACAATGTTATTGCTGTGGGCAGGAAGGATTTCCTGTATCTGTCCTTGCGGCAGCAGGGCTGAACCATGCTGTTGGAGAAAGTGCTCCACTGTCTGTCCACTAGGTAGTGGAGAGGGTACTCGTGATTGTCAATGATGGATAACAGTTTGTTCAGTGCCCTCCTCTCCACCACCACTTCAACAGAGTCTGGTTTGCAGCCAATGATAGAGCCAACCTTCTCAGTCAATTTGTTAATTCTGTTGCTGTAACCGGCTCTGATGCTGCTCCCCCAGCAGACCACAGCAAAGTACAGTGCACTGGCTAAAACAGACTGATAAAAGATTACCAACATCTTGCTGCACACATTTAAAGATCTTAGCTTCCACAGGAAATAGTCTGCTCATCCCTTTCTTGTACGCAGCATCAGTGTTGATCTTCCAGTTCAGTCTGTTGTTGATGTGGATGTTGTTGATGTAAACGCCCAAGTAAGTAATCCTCCACTGTGCCAACATCCTCTCCCCTAAAGTCGATCCCCATAGCTGTTTTTCAGACATGGACTCCAGGTAAAACCCGGAGAATTGGGTGATAATTGAGTCTGTCATTCATACATGCACAACACGGCGGGAGGTTTTCTGCCTTCACAATACATCCCTCGTATTATTCAGACGAGAGGTGGAGCAGATGGGTGCAGCAGACTGCGCTGATGCAAAAGGCGGGGAGATGTGTGTGGCTCAATATTCTAGTCCAGAGGTGTCAAACTCAAGTCAAAAATATATATAATATCCATCTTAAATATGACGCAGACTTTTTTTGTGAAAAAAAAAGCTCCATAGGCCAAGCCAGGGTGTGCAATGCTACACACACACAGAACTAGCGCCCCCTCCTCACCTGCCGAGTATTTGGTGTTAGTATATTATTTTTCCAGTGTTCCAGAGATCCCAGTTCCTGTGTGCTGCTGTCTGTACAGATGAAGATGAACAAAAACCCACACAGTAGTTGTCTCACTGATGCACACCTTCACTCCATCTTGAGGGTTTCCACAGCACAAAACCTGACCCCAAACATTAATGAACTGGCTAAAAAAATAAATAAAAGAAGAATGAAGCCTACCTAAATATGTTTTCTTTTTGCACTTTATCTGTCTATCCTGTTAAATAAATGTTGACTATGTTTGGCCCTTGTTTTGAATCTTGACTCATTTGTTGATCGTTTTGCCAAAAATCACATATAGTTGCTCTTATTCTACAAATTCTCATTTTCAATATTGTAATTTTCAAAAATTGTAAATGTAACAAAGAATTATGTTGTGTTTTTGTGCACTAGCACTTTATAACCTTGTTTAAATAAATGCTATACAAATGAAGTTATTATTATTATCGTTTATATAGGCTACTTAACTAAAAATGTTGAAAGCTTGAACACTGTCTTTGTCTCTTTTGTCCCGGGTTCAATGTGCCCCTCTGACAAAAAACTGGCCCCAGCCTGGCCCCCTCAGTAGAATCGGTCTAGAACCGCCACTGGTGGGGGAGTAAAGAGGCACTCTATGCATCCAGAGCATTTGCATACAGAAGGTCCAGTGTTTTATTGTCTCTTGTGGGGCAGTTAATATACTGATAAAATGAATGAAATGTTTTGTCTAGTGTGACATGATTAAAGTATCCAGTGATGGCTATAAAAGCATTGGGATGTTGAGTGTGAGCCATGGTGTTGATAGCTACAGTCGCATCAGCTGACTGTGGAATGTAAACAGCGACAGCAATGGCGGCAGTAAACACCCTCAGTAAATAATATGCATTCCATCTCAGCATTTAAAGTTAAACTTAAAACGTTCCTTTTTGATAAAGCCTATAGTTAGTTCTGGATCAGGTGAGTCCTGAACCATCACTTAGTTATGCTGCTATAGGTCTAGACTGCTGGGGGAACTCCCATCATCCACTGAGCACCTCTCCACTTCTCTCTGTCTCTCTGCCCCCCCACAATTATTCATTTATTTATTTTAATACATGTCAATGACTATTTCACTTTGTACTCCCATAGTCTCTCTCTCTCTTTTTCTCTCCCATTTCAGATATCTCTGACCCCCGGAACCTCAGGACAACAACTTCTCCTATTACTAATTACAATATCGCAGTAATTCATTATCAAATGTGTCTGTTATCCATAATAATTTAGTCTTTACACTGTTGTTCACTTTTTAACTAATCAGATCTGTTAGCTGATGGCGCTCAAGTGTCCGCTGTCTTTCTCTCCCCCTCCTCCCCCTCCCCACTATCATCTTCTCTCCCCTCTTTTCCACCCATCTCTCATCTCCCTCCCCCGTTTTCTTTGCTCACCCCAACCAGTAGAGGCAGATGACCGCCCACATTGAGCCAGGTTCTGCTAGAGGTTTCTCTCTGTTAATGAGGGAGTTTTTCCTCTCCACAGTCGCCAAAGTGCTTGTTTATTGTGGGAAATGTTGGGTTTCTCTATATTTTGATTTTAAGGTCCTGACCTATTATGTAAAGTGCCTTGAGATAATGTATATTATGATTTGGCGCTATACAAATAAAATTGAATTGATTTGAATTGAATTCCCACAGCAAGGAGTTAATTGTCCGGGCTACAGAGACGTTCCTTCACATCAATATGTCTGGCATTACACCATGTTTTACTCACATACAGTGCAATCCCTCCTCCCTTCTTTTTACTGCTCTGGATAATGTCCCTGTCTGTCTTGAAAGTAGTGAAGCCGGGTAACGCCACACTGTGCAGGCATGTCTCTGTGAAACACAACAAGCTACACACGGTATTTCCCCTAGGTCTTAATCAGCACGCTGAGCTGG